GGTTGATTTTCTTTGGCTTTAGTTTACTCTCCACCCCAACCTCACCCTCACTCTCAGGAAAATGAAGGTATTGATTTGATTTGTTGAAGAGCAAAGACAGAAAGCTTCATACTCACAACTTCCATCAAGCCCATTCTGACTCATCTGGTGCGTCTGAATCACCGACCTTCTAGGGAGCAGCCCAAAGCAGAGCCCACTAGTCACCTAAGCGCTATGGAAAGCATTATCTTCAGTTGCAATTGCCTCTTAATAACAGAACTAGGGAAGAGTCTAGTCTCCTCACAGGCTATAGTGTAAAAAGAGCTATCAGCGCAAGACAGAAGGGAGGTACACAGCCAATGTCAGGTCTTTGTTTCCTTGTTCTGGTATTGGCTTTGCAAAGTAACCCAGTTCCCATAAGCAGACATCACAGGCCTATCAAAGCCAGTGCTACAATATTCTTGCTTGAATACTTTCACATAGCCAGTCAATAATACTGCTACTCTGCTCTACATTTGGTGGGGGGGCGGCAAAATTAGAAAATTTCCATTTTCTACTAGGCAAAACAAACAAATTGGACTTCTTGTATGAGGTAGATATTTTAAACTTTTAAGTCTACTCTCAATGTCTCTAAAATAACAGAATGTGGTTTTTGTCCCTTCAATTAAAAACAAACAAAAAACACCTTGTTTCTCTTACAGAGAAATTTTTTAAATGTAAAGGCCCTGGAAAGATTTTTAAATCGCTTGAAATGACATACTTGCTAAATATGTTAACGGTGCCTATATTTCACCAGGCATCTATTAATTATCCAACAGTGCCCCCCGGGCCCTGCCCGGGCGCCCCAACTAGACTGATACACAGATAACGAGAGATCACCGGAGGGGCAGCTGGAGGAGAGGCTCTTGGGAGCAAGCAACAGACTTTCCAGACTGATGCGATGGAGGGAACAACTTTTATGCAATGGAAATAAAAGGGTCAGCCCGACGGTTCAGTGACATCTGAGAATGGGAACCTCTCCACGGCGTGCCCTCCGCTGGCCCGGCGGCGCCGGGGACCTGGGCGCATTGTCCTCTTCCCTCCAGCCGCCGCGTCCTCCCACACACGCTCCCCGCCGGCGGG